CCAACCTTTAAAACCTAACCAACCATCTAACCTAACCTAAAAAAACCTAACCTAACCTACCTAACCAAACCCAACCGAACGTAACCTAACCTGCCTAACCTCCTAACCTAAATAACCGACCAAACCTAACCAAACCTATCCTAAACCTATCCAACCTAACCTACCTAACCTAACCGAACCTAACCAACAAACCCAAACCCTAACTTACCTAACCAACCTAACCTAATGCCTTACCCCAAAGTTTGCGTCATGATTTTTTAGCCCCTTCCCCCCCAACGCCACCGGTAATGCGATTCCACCAAAGGGTAGTTTTAAGATAATCATCTCCTTACCGAACCCCTGCGTCACTAGGAACGACGCCATGTAATGGGGTTCACCCCCAAGGGTAAAAAAAACACAGGGCCCATCCCTTACCGAACCCCTGCGCACTCAGGTCAACGCCCCTGTAGCGGTTCACCCCCAAGGGTAGAAAATCCATAGTCATCTTTTTCCCAGACCAACTGTAACCAACCGACCTGACCTAACCTAACCAACTAACCGAACGTAACCTAACCTAACCTAAATCTAACCTAAATAACCAAATAACTTACCCTAACCAAACCTAACCTAACCTAACCTAACATCCAACCTCCTAACTAACTACCCTAACCTAACCTAACCTAAAATAACCTAACTTATCCTAACCTACTCACTTTACTTTGAACACCTTCAAAACACTCTCATACTCATTTGAGCCCAAACCTTTTCTCAATATCTCTCACCCCACAACCTTTATCATCTCACTACAGAACAACCCCAAGTTTAACTTCGAACACTCTCATAAATCATTTGAGTACTCACAAAAACACCTTTGAACATTTCCAAAAAACCCACTGAAGCACTTCCAAAATATCATTTTGATTACTCCCAAATAAGATTTATCATCTCCTATTTATCTACACTTACACATTTCATTAACTGAAATTACAACACATCCACCATACTACTCCCTCATTCTCCAGACTTTACAACATTAGCAAAAAAAAAAAAAACTAACTCATACACTTATGACATGAGACATTACCATATCTAACACACTAACTTTGAACCAACTCTGAACACCACTGATCTTCTTCAAAAAATACTCTGCACATCATTTGAACACCTTCAAAAAACACCATCAAACACCTCCGAATACTCCCAAAAATACTACTGATTACTACCAAATCACCACTGAATACTACCAAATCACCGTCCTTCCTTATTCATTCCGTATATCTCCTAGAGCTGTTTTAACCCCGACGGACCCATCATGACATTAGGAGCCAGAGTGTAGTAGGTGGTGGTGGAGTGGTGATGGTTCCTCTGGCTCCTAATGTCATGATGGGCCCGTCGGGGTTAAAACAGCTCTAGGAGATATACGGAATGAATAAGGAAGGATGTTTTAGGGATGATGTGTATGTCTTAGTTGGAGGTGAATGTCTTATATTTGGTGTGTATGTCTTATGTCTTAAATTTGTGATTGAAATGTATAAGATGTGGGTGTCTGTGTATTATTTTTTTTGTGATAGTGATATGTTATAGTCCTCATGTTATGTTATAGATGTTGGTGGAAGTGTTGTGGTATTTTTGTGTATGTCTTATTTTTGTGCAAATGTATAAAAAATAAGTGATTTCAGTGATCATAGTAGTTTTGAGATGCATGATCTTAGATTTTTTGGTGATCTTGGTGATGAGTGTTGATAGATGACGGTAAACATGATAGGGAAATTTGGGTGATCGTGATTTTTTGTGTGAATAATTAAAAAAATGTGTGTTTTCTGTGATCTGGTGTTGGGGATCAAAAAATCTGGTAATCGTCTTGGATATAGTGATCTTGGGATAATGTAGGGTACAACAGGTTGAAACAAGGGGGTTGGGTGTGATGTTTACCAACCACCAAGAAAACACAATGGAGTGTGACGTCACTGGAGGTGAGCTCGTCGGTCCTGTGAGGTAGACATCGTGTGTTGGTGGTAGTGAGGTGAGTGCGCTTAGATTTTGTCAAATATGATTTTTTTTTTTTTTGTGTGAAATGTTTATAAAAATGAGTGTTTTCTGTGATATTAGTGTTTTTTTTGAGGTAAGTGAACATGGGTGATTGTAGTTGGTGGTTGTCTTAGATTATATGTGGTGTGTACAAAATATGTTTTCATTGGATGGTGATCATGTACTAAGTGTTGCGTATTAGGTTTGTTTTCATGCTTTTTTTTTATGCGCCAAATGGGGAGGGAGTTCTTGGTTATAGTGATTTTAGGGGATTTTCTATAAAAAGGATGTTAGATGGTGATGTTTAAACTTTGTTTCTGGTGATTTTGACGGTGGTTTGGTAGTATTCATTTGGGGATTTGGTAGTAATCAGTAGTGTTTTGGGAGTATTCGGAGGTGTTTGATGGTGTTTTTTGAAGGTGTTCAAATGATGTGCAGAGTATTTTTTGAAGATGATCAGTGGTGTTCAGAGTTTTGGTTCAAGTTAGTCAGTGTGTTGATATGGTAATGTCTCATGTCATAAGTGTATGAGTTAGTTTTTTTTTTGCTAATGTTGTAAAGTCTGGAGAATGAGGGAGGAGTTTGGTGGATGTGTTGTAATTTCAGTTAATGAAATGTGTAAGTGTAGATTTAAAAAGGAGATGATAAATCTTATTTTGGGGGTAATCAAAATGATATTTTGGAAGTGCTTCAGTGTTGTTTGGAAATGTTCAAAGGTGTTTATGTGAGTACTCAAATGATTTATGAGAGTGTTCGAAGTAATCTTGGGGTTGTTCTGTAGTGAGATGATAAAGGTTGTGGATGAGAGATATTGAGAAAAGGTGGTCTCAAATGATGTATGAGAGTGTTTTGAAGGTGTTCAAAGTAAAATGGTAGGTTAGGATAAGTTAGGTTAGGATAAGTTAGGTTAGGTTAGGTTAGATTAGGATAAGTTAGGTTAGGTTAGGTTAGGTTAGGTTAGGATAAGTTAGGTTAGGTTAGGTTAGGTTAAGTTAGGTTAGGATAAGTTAGGTTAGGTTAGGTTAGGATAAGTTAGGTTAGGTTAGGTTAGGTTAGGATAGGTTAGGTTAGGATAGGTTAGGTTAGGTTAGGTTAGGTTAGGTTAGGTTAGGATAGGTTAGGTTAGGTTAGGTTAGGTTAGGTTAGGTTAGGTTAGGTTCGGTTAGGTTAGGTTAGGTTACGTTCGGTTAGGTTAGGTTAGGTCAGGTTAGGTTACAGTTGGTCTGGAAAGAGATGATTATGTGATTTTCTACCTTGGAGTGTGAATCGCATTACACAGTGGCGTCGGGGGAAGGGGTGGCCCATGTAAGCTCAATGAGTCTCTCAGAGCGAGGATTGTGTTTCCATCCGTCAACCCTGACTGACCTCATCTTCCCCACCCTGACTGACCTCATCTTTTCCAACCGCACATCATGGAGAAAGGTAAGTTGTACTTAGAAAATTCTTGATAAGTGATGAAACGGTTTTTTACATGTTTAATTTTTGTTGAAGCATACGAGTGAAATTTTAACATGATTTGGGTTAGTGTGTTAATAAGTGAAATTCTTAACAGGGGATAACATATATTCGAAATACTTGGAAGCATTGGCGAAGAGAAGATTGTCGATTAGAAGGAGGCGTTCGTTGGTAATCAAGAAAGGTGGTGTACAACGCAATGAAAGGTTGTTGCAATTGGATAATGAGTGGGCACGTGTAGATGCTTTATGGAAGAAGGCTATAGAAACAGGTATGTATC